TGTATGTTGTAGATGTTCTTGTGATTTTGTTTCCTTTTTTGGAGGAGTAAATGATAAAAAACTATTAAAAGAGGGGCAAAATAGTTATTTTACATGGGTCTAGATTGCATGAGGGGTAGGGACCAAATCGAAAACGAAAAAAACATGTGGATAAAGTTTGTATTTGGACCATATACAGGACAAAGACAAAGGGTTTAAATTTGTAAAATTTAGTCTTTTTATCTTGAAAGTTGAAACTAAGGTAAAAGGTTGACCATATTTTATGTTATGTTGATGTATGTAGTTTGGTGGGTTTCAACAAGGAGTATTGAAACAGGCAATGGAGCCTTCCATATTGGGGAGTGCTTTTACAGAAGGTGGCCCAGATAGAAAAATTAAGCTTGATTGTAATCCTGGTATTGATGAGGTACCTGATTTATTTAATTATTTAAATCTATGTTTTATCTGAATTCTGAATATAATATGCTTGGAATTTGATAATTATATATCGAAGGATATTTGCAAGCTATGTTGGATACATTGTATAAGCACGAATATCTCAGAGTCAGAGTCATTGATGAGCAGGTATCAGTAATTTTATATCATCATATATATCATATCATATGTGATGTTAATTTAATTCCAATTAAAAATGTTGTTTTGTATTTTGTAGGCTGTTCTAAGGAATCTACCACCAAACAGTGTTAGATAGATGAAATTATGGATCACGTGAAGGGCTTCCTCATCAGTATGGCATTGTTGAAAGGAGACTCTTCTTTCTCACATCCCTTACATCACCTTCGTGGACAAAACGTAAGTCTACACTCTAAAAGGGTGGGACAGGCCTCTTCCCCATGGAAAAGACATAAATGCCCTCATTACATATGTCATCTGATTTTTTTTGTAGGAATGGAGAATCGGGCCAACGATTTTGACTTTGTGTGAGCATCTGTTTGTGAATTTTGCAATCGGGTGGCTGAGAGAGTAGGCGGGTGATCTAACGGCTAAAATCAATTGGGGGGGGGGGGGGGACAGGTTTAAGGGGGACCCACCAAAAGAAGTGGAAAGTAGTAAGATGTCTGTATTGAAATGGGGAGTTGGGAGGTTTGTGTTTGCAGGTATGGTTGCATATATTGAATCTGCAAACACGTTTACTTGTTGGTCGGAATCGGATTTCAATTCCATTCTAGTAATGCATTTGGTTTCAGCATAAAAGTTTTGCTTCCAACAAAGACCCTAACACTAGCAAGTCTCCTTCCATTAAAAGAAAAAGTAAGTGGCATTTGGTCCGTCTAATTCCATGGGACTAAACGGGAATCAAAATCCAGTTCCATTCTGATCCTTCTTTCGGATGGAAGATATCAAGCAATGGAAAAGATCTATGCGGAAATGCAAAAAATATGAGATTAAATTGAGAATTATGGTAGATTATACTTTGAAAACAAATATTAATCAATGTTAAACTTTGATGGATGTTTTTAGTTTTTAATGTTAGTGTTTGGTTTGTATAATTATTTGATATGTTTGGTATTTAAATGCTAATGTTTGGTTTGGTATTGTATAAGTATTTGATGTTTTTTGGAAATTTTGTTTTACATTCACAAAAAAAAAAAAAAAAAAAAATCTGATATTATATATTTGCGAGGGGTTAACTATGGAAAGAAAAAAAAATCACATCTCAAATTTGAAAGGGATTAGCGAGGGAAAAAAAATTAGCATATGAATTTTGCAAGGGATTAGCTACGGATAAAAAAACTGATTACGGAAATTTGCGACAGAACGACGGAATGACTTTAACAAATTTTGTCGCTAATGCCCTGAGTAAATGTATTGAGTGACATTTTGCGACATATATTCTGTCGCTACATTTGTCGCAAGGAAAAACCACTCCGTCGCTAAAACCCTTGCTGAGTAATTAGCCACGTTTAAATTACCTATGGAATGAATCCGTCTCTGATCCATTGCAAACAACATTTAGCGACGGAATAGCGACGGATTCTTCCATCTCTAAAACCCATGTTTCTAGTAGTGGATGATGCCCACTTTACAGTTTAGTCCATTGAAATGATCCATGTGATGCTTACATGGCACACACGGAACTCCTATGTATACCACCGGACATGCCATCGACTTGGATTTTTCTGTTATTTTTGTAATTTACAAATTATTTTTACTCTCTCGCTCTCTCATGGTTACTTTGACTAGTATTTTGTTTTATCATCATCTTATGAATCAATCACTCAATTTTCAGTTTGATTCACGTGCATTTTCTCCAAAAGTTTGTTATGGTAATCTTCTTTTTACATTCGATTTGCGATTTTAGGGATAAAGATAAGACAAAACTGCCACTTTCTCCAAATGGTCCTTGTGGTTTGCTCAAAATTGCCACTTTGGTCCAAAAAAATTTGGACTAGCACCACAGGTCAAAAGTTTTCATTTTATTGCGTCTTTGGTCCAAAGCATTTTAAAAATTCTTCAAATGACGGATTTGCCCCTCTTTATTTGTTTTTTTCTTTTCTTTTTTCCTTTACTATTTTTTTATTATTTAACTACATAAGGTCTCTCTCTCTCTCTCTCTCTCTCTCTCTCTCTCTCTCTCTCTCTCTCTCTCTCAAGAACATATACAATAAAAACATACTCCCCTTCCCGTTGTTCTTCCTCCCTACAACCCAAACCCATTAATAACCTTCCTCTATCTTTCTCCAGTGACTATCGTCTTCCAAAATCGATTTTTGTGTTCAAAATATTTATTGTGAATCATTTTTTGGGGAGAATCAATTTCTGGTTTCATCTTCTCCAACCCAATTTTAGGTTTCATCTTCTTAATTTTTGGGTTTCATCTTCCATCATCGGCAGATAAGGTATCCTTCGTCGTCAAAGGCGTTGTCGAAGGCATCATCGTTGAAGAGAAAGATGTCACTTTTCAGAGCCTTCATCGGATTAACTAGTCGATATGGTAACGGTAGTCCTAGAAAAATCGAAGAAGGTTAGATATAAAGATCGAGGTCGTCGGAGCCACAACGAACCCTAGCTTCGATTGGGGCTCCGTCGTCGCTGCTATGAAGATCCAATTAGGGCTTCGCCTCCGCTTCAGATCCATTTCTCTCACCGTCAATCAGAAATCCCTCACCGTCGTTGCTATGAAGATCCACTGTAAAAACCCTCGTTGCTGTGAAGATCCACAACAAACCTTGCTCTGATTCATTCCAAGTGTTATCAATGAAAACATCTTTTTCTCCATCATAATCTTTCTTTCATTCGAACCCAGAAGCTACAAATTGATTTGGTGATGGACTAGACAGTTTCAATGGACATGATAATGCTTCAAATTGTAGCACTAGCAAGAGGAGAGAGAAGCAAATGAATGGTGTTCTTTAAGTACCAATTTTTATTTGTTTTATAGGACTTCTTTTGGTTATAAAGATTTGAAATTATGGATTTTTGAGGTTGTAAGCATCGTATTGTTTGTGTTTGCAGTGGTATTAATTCATGGAAGCTTGGTACACACACACATATACACACACACACACACAGAGAGAGAGAGAGAGAGAGAGAGAGAGAGAGAGAGAGAGAGAGAGAGAGAGAGAGAGAGAGAGAGAGAGAGAGAGAGAGAGAGAGAGAGAGAGAGAGAGAGAGAGAGAGAGAGAGAGAGAGAGACCCTATGTAATTAAATAATAAAAAAAATAGTAAAGGAAAAAGAAAAGGAAAAAAACAAAAAGAGAGGGGTAAATCCGTCATTTGAAGAATTTTTAAAGTGCTTTGGACCAAGACGCAACAAAATGAAAACTTTAACAAAATGAAAACTTTGGACCTGCGGTGCTAGTCCAAACTTTTTTGGACCAAAGTGGCAATTTCGAGTAAACCACACGAACCATTTGTGCAGTTTTGTCTAAAGATAACAGGCATGGTTTCTTCGAAGAAGAGACCAGAACACGCATTACGTTGAAGACATGAAAAAATAACCAAAGTAAAGCTTATAAACAGGAAGATTATTCTGATGAATGGTGCTTCGTCTACAAAGATGGTGAAGATTTAACTGCTTGTGATCGCAAATGAGTTTCCGAAAACTATTTCAAAATGGGTTTGGTCCAAGAAAGTGAAAGGATTTGACAAGTTTTCATACGTTTACAATAACATTCATGACCAAATCATCAGATCCTAAAGTCCCTAACCAAGAGAAATCCGATTATGCCAAGAGAAACATGTGACCTGACTTAACCATGTTTAGAAACCAATGAACCGACCTTAGTTTGATCACCGGAATTGAGCGGTTATAATTAAGTGGCAAAAAGCTAAGGCGGAGTCATGACGGCGGCAGCGGCCTGAATTCTCGGATTTTATCGATCCTTCTTGAGTTAATCTTAACAACAATAATGGGGGAGGAATTGTTTCTAAAAGGAAACCAGGTTAATGATCTTCAAATGGCGAGAAACAAGCCCTAAAAGTGGTCCAACGTAAAGAAAAGCCATATTGACCATTTTTAAAATTTTAATTATTAAAAAAATAAATAAAAAGCTGCATGGCTTAGGTGCCAGCAACCAGGTCAAATTGCGTATTTTCCCATTCATTACAGGTCAAATGAAAGTTCAGTGATTTAAAGTACACAAAATTTTAGTGACCAAATAGTTGGTAGGATTATAATAATGTTAACATTAAAAATTGAAAATTATAAAATTAGTGCTAATAGCGATTTATCTTCCGTTTTATTTTATTTTCCATTCTGTTTTTTTTTTTACACAAAATGAATATTCCAAGTATATATATTTTTTCCAACTTATTTACATTTTGATAATACCCTATCAATTTAAAACTATGAGCATGAGACACAAACGACACCGACCCAAAAATCCCGAGTATCGAAATTGATGCAAAAACAATACCGCGTACCAAATCAAACTAACATGATAGGCAATGGTACCAATTTTCTCAAGACTCCAAATATTCGTATCTACGGCTTAAATCAATGTACCATTTGTGTAAAAGGGATTTTACTTTAATTGGTTTGCTTAATATTAGGTGATTAAATATAGAATGATAACCATGTAATTAATTTAATTAACTTGAATCTAATACTTTTGGAATCAAGAAACGTTGGAATCACATTATCTCCTCCACAACTCTACATAATCAGCCATCATAGCCCTAGATTGCCTCTATCTTCCTCTACTAACAGCAAACATTAGCACAACCATTATTACCATTATTGACGCAACCGAACACCACCATAAGGCTATCCGCAGTAGGTTTATACCCACACGTGAATTTTTTATGTGGCACACATGTGTCACACCAATCCACCGGTGAACACCTCCCCGTAAGACCGGTGGTTTGGTTGTGAAGTGGGCTCTAGTGTTTGTGAAGACAGAAGAAGACGGATATTCTCATTGGTTGTTTAATTCTCCACTCACATTTCCTCTCCTCTCTCTTCTTTTTTCATCTTCACTACCAACCTACCGGTGAACATCATTTCCACAACCTGATGGGTTGGTTGTAAAATGATAAAATACCTACGTGGCGTTGAGGTGACTGGTGGTTTGACTGTGACCACTCCCCACAGCCTAAGGCTGTGTGGAGTGGTCACACCTAAACCATCGGAAAAGCGCTGCCAACTCAGCGCTACGTTAGCTCCACCACCAACTCCACTTGACATTTTCTTTTTTTCTTTTTATTTTTTTTATGCTTCAATTAAATAAAAACATAATTTAAAACATAAAATATTATACATTAATTGAAACCACTTTACACTAATTAAAAAACATAGAAAACTAAAGCTACAAAAATAGAAAGTTAAAGCTAAATTACTAAAAAAAAACATTGAAAATTAAACCTAAATTATTAAAAAAACATAGAAAATTAAACATAAATTACTAAAAAAGTATAGAAAATTAAACATAAATTACTAAAAAAACATAAAAAACATAGAATCTAGTTGCGATATTTTTCGAAAACTTCTTGTTGAATTTTAAATAACGCCCTTAAATTTTCCAGCTCAAGATCGGTTGCGGCACCATGTTTAAAATTTGAAAATCGGTGAAACCGCTGTTCATTTCATAAAACATATATGCTTGACCTTTCTCGATGTTTTTTTTGGGTGACTCACCAACCGACTATTTTTCTCCGACGAGCTTTCTCCGTTGATTCAATTTTTTTTTCCAAAAAACTTAGAGTTTTGTGTATTTGGTCCGTTAGTAAGTCCTCGTTGGTTAATTTTGCGCTTGAAGACACCCCCCATTCTCGTTTTGTCCCTTCCCGGTGGTCGATGAAGTTGGACGTCTGGTTGACCCTCCCCCTCGGTGGCGTCGAACTCATCATTGAAGTCGAGGCTAACACCAATGTCAGACTCGGAAGTTCTTGCCCTTTTGTTGGAGCCGGTGGTAGATCCCGAATGCATTGTATCCAGATAAAGGACCTATTTTGGACTATTACGATAAACTTCCAATGCTTTTTCGGTTGGCGAATGATTTACCATTGTTGGTGATTTTGTATTGTTATGATGCGGTTGATAAAATGTTGAAATCGTTGCTACCACTTCTATGCATATTTTTAAGATTGTCAAATATGCCGTTAAATGTGGTGCAAGCCACTCGAAGGTCACACCATTTTGCATTGACCAAGTCATATGTCCGGTTTGTTTGCCTTCCTAATAAAGAGTGGAAGTGGTGTAAAACACGATTTCAAAAACTTTGACTCATTTGCACGTTGCCGACATCCCCGTCTTGTGATATGAATATCCAAACTTTAGCTAAAGCTTCCACCCCTCTTCGGTCCATTGCGTAGTTTTATTTTTCCTTGGATCTTTTGATTTTTTTGCCTTCTATGACTTAGTTGTGTGTCTTTAACCCATTCATTGTCGTCATTGTTGAGGTTTATAGGTTGAGATTGAGATAATGGAACTTGAGATGGTTGTGAAGGTTGTGCGTGCAATTGTTGACGTTAAGAAGTGTGGTTGAAATTGCGGAGAATATTGTTGTTGAAGGGCTTGAAATTGAGGTTGATTGAATTCTGGTGGTGGTTGTTGTTCGTAGTCGTATGAGTTGGTAGTCGTGTGGGTGGTATGAACGGTTGGTGAATAGAGGATGTTGTTTGGATTGAAAATGTTATCAATTGCATGTAACTAATATTTACTAATAGATCATTTGGAGTGTTTGGAATGAGTTGGGTATTTTGATTTGAATTCATAAAAAATATGAGAAAAAAGTGTTTTTTTGTTGAATATGTGTGTTTGTTTTGAAAGAGTGTGTTTTTAGTTTGAAAATTATGTGTAAAATGAATGTATGTATAAAGAGAAATTAACGAAATAATGAACTAATTTTTTTTAAATGCTTGAAATGATCGAAATTGAGCAACGGTAGAATACAAAGGCTAGCAAATCATATTGTACGTTTTCTTCCGTCTTACCACCCACGTCACACCCAACCTATCCACCTTAGGGGCGGTGTTCACGTGTCTCCAGGGTGTCCACCTCAACATTCCACGCGTGGAGCAAATACTACTCCGGATAGCCTAAAACATAACCATCGTCTCCACTACATTGCATTATAAGAAACCCGTCTTTTCACAATCATTGTCCACTTGGGATTTCTAGGACTCGTTCATGCCACGGTTGACTAGGTTAGAAACTGTCAACAGGTTCTCCAAGATCTCCTGTCACAACAAGCAACATAGCGGAAAATTGTGGGTATTGGATGAAGCTCCGACAAGTACCTTTCTTGGCCGAGGATCATCTGATAAATTGAATCGGGTTTAAATGATTAATCTCTTAAGCATGTATCCAAGATAGTGATGTGATCAACCCAAAATTGACTTCTATTAGTAAAGTGAATAACATTAACATCTACTTTGTTTGCTGATCACTTTTTTTTTTTTTTTTTTTTTTTTTTTTTTTAAATAATGTCGTTATTATTTTATTTATTTATTTTGACACATAATGAATTTAATTCATACTAAAGTGAATATTATTTTATTTATTTATTTATTTAGGACTAGAAGCTTTTCAAGTAATTATAAATGATAAAAACTACTTAGTATCGTTAATTTGTCAATCGTATTACTTGTTAATTATTCATTTAATTTGTTCCATAGATCTCTAACTCCTTCTTATTCTTGTGATTTTCAGGTATGTATTTTTTATAATTTTATATATACGATGCTTACAACTTATTTTATGGAATTTCTTAACTAATAATTCCTTAATATACAA